CGGGCTCTCTGTCTACCTAGCGCGGGGAAGGGAAGGTGAGGGTGAGGGGTCTGACCCAGAGGTCGGTCGACCGGTGATGTCATGGTCACTATCGGCCACCAGGTGAGCCTAAAACAGAGCCGTATCGCGGCCGATCGCCCCTCGCTCCCTCCCCTCTCCTCCCGGCGGTGATTAGGGTCGACAAAGCGACCCTCAAACGCCCACGACGCACTACTCTTCAGAGCTATCTTACGGCGGTGTTGACTGCCGTAGTCGAGTTCACGAAAATCTATCTTGGTCCGGGTGGCTAGGACCCTCACTGTGCTACTGTAAGGTGTTATTTTCGTATCGGACGATTTCGGTACAGGTCTTATCGCGCCCGCGTTCGCTCGCACTGTCGCTGTTTATGTCCGCATGCGCTCTGACACTGTATCTCCTCCTTCGGCAGTGAATATTGCGACCTGAACCGAACACAGAACTACCTCCAGGACCTGGTCGAGCGACAGGGCCTCCCCGTGTTCGAGACCATCTCGTCAGCCCTCGACTGCACTGACAAGGTACGCGCTAGTGGACACGCGTGCGAGATGCTACCGTGTGGTGGGGTGTCTTCTGAGGCGAATGGCCGTTCCAGCGTGCCGCTTTGGCGCCGGGCCTGAGTGGTTCCTCAGAAACCTGCCGTCTGTAGTGAGCCTGAGGCAGCCGGCGGCAGGTGTGGCGTCATTGTTTAATCAGGTGCGCGGATACCGCGCCGCGCACACACACTCACACAAGGCCGGTGCGGGACGCGATAGCGGGGGCGGGGGGACGGCCGCGCGGCAGGTGGTCCGACCCGATGGCACCTTATCGGCCGGACTGTCCGCTCTGATCCGCCGCGCCACTGATCCGCCCTGATCCCGCCGTACTACGGGCCACTCTCAGCGGGTGCCAAGGCTGCCGGCGCTGACCGCGCGACCTTCTCCCGCCCGGCAGGTGCTGAAGAAAGACATCCGGGTACAGGACCTGCGGCTGGACGACAATGCCGTGCCAGTCCGGAACGCCCACATCACGCTGGCCGACAAGCTACAGTGAGTAGGGCGGCCGCCGGTCACGCGACTTAGCCAGGGATCAGGGAGCCACTTGTTTCGTCAGTGGTGCTCATAGCCTGGCCTTGGCATTTAACATAAGTAGCCACAGCCAATGTTTTGTTATTGTAGTTATTTGGCAGCGGTCAGGTGGTGGACTAAATCTTAGCGATCGGATGTTTTCGATTTACAATAACACCAAAGTCAACATTTGTGCGTTTTGTGTTCTAGATTTCATTGTTTACATTGGAGCCCCCTGGCACCCCACCCACATGTGCCTAACGTCAGTCTTCCTGTCTCCTGCAGCAAACTGCGTGAGGTGTTCGCGAACCAGGACTCGGAGGGTCGCGGCAGTCTCAGCCCGGCTGAGGTCTGCACGGCGCTGCGGGTCTGCACGGGCCGCACCATCTACCCCAACGACTGCCTGGCGCTGATGGCGCAGATCCGGGAAGTGACCGAGCAGACGGCCGGCGGCTCGCCCGACGGTCGGCTCTCGTTCGAGGACTTCTGCCTGCTGGTGACGGAGCTGCAGGGCAGCGGCCGGCGGGGCGGCCGCGGCGGTCGGCAGAGTCCCTCCGTCCTCTCCCGGACGGCCGAGATGATGCACCAGTTGCTGACGCCGCTGACACGGGTGGCCGAGTGGGTGCTGCCCCAGCGGCTGGCACGCCAGCTCAGCAACGGCTCGGCGCCCACCTCCGACGTGCGCGACGTCTACCTGGGCGGCACGCTGACCAACACCAGCTGGAGAGAGAACATCGCCATCCCCATCCTCAAGTGAGTAGCGCGATCTCTCCGGCCGCGGCTCAGAGTCATGGATTTACGAGGGCTGACGTAGTCGACCTCGACTTAATGGATGGAGCTGTTGCTACGCTATGGATCTCTGTCAATGTCCGGCTGCTACTTTTGAGCCAGATTTATAACTCCCGTTATTCAGTGACTAGTTTGGAACCGCTCTGCCTACTAGCCCAGATTGTCACCATGTATGGCCCGGTGTCTGTGCGTGCCCGTTCTGACCGACGCCTTCCTCTCCCCTCAGGAAGTCGGCGCTGACGTTCGAGCACCCTGCCACTCTGCTGGCTACCGAGCGGCTGACGCCCACGGAGGCGGCGCGGCTCGAGCGGTGCCGGACGCTGCTGTTCGTCATCACCGACACCTCTCGGGCGCCAGCGCACATGACCATGGCGGCGCACTACATCGGACGGGGCGCCTCGGTCGTGCTCTGTATCCAGATGCTGCCCGACAACTGTGTCATCCAAGGCGAAAAGGTGAGCGTGCTGCCGCTGTCGTGGCGGGGACTGGGGGTGGGGGTTTGGAGTGGGGGTAGGACCGGTCCGCCGCGGACGGGCTCGGCGGCGCGTGGGCGGCCGCTCTAGCCGTGTTAGGAGCGTGCCGCCACTGTGATTTAGAGGCGGACCTAGCGTGACGTCGGCCCGACTGACTATGGACGTCTATGGAGTCGAGCGGGCCGACTGTTGATGTCACTGTGGAAAGCTGCTAGGCCGGTCTGAGCGCGATCGCGGCTGGATTGGACTGTGTGCCGCGCGGTGCCGGGTCGGTGACAGTGTCTGACCGGAGTCTCCTCTGTTCCCAGCTGTCGCCGACTGCCATCAAGGACTACAACCGCGGCCGCTCGTACCTCTCCGATCTGGCCAGCCGCAAGGGCGTGCCCGTGTTCGAGACGGTCGCCGAGGCGGTGCAGAAGGCCGCGCAGCTCTCGCGGAGGGCGCGGTAGGGCCGCCCGCGCGGCCGGCACCAGTACAAACGGCCGTCCGGCCGGCCCGGGGCAGCTAGCACCTTCACCTACCTCGCTCGCCGGCTTACCCACCGTCACTGAGCGTCGCCATCGGCGCGGCTCCTTTTAACTCCTCCCCCGGTGGGCTCACTCCTCGGTATGTGTAATTTATTGTTCGGTGTGGTGTGGTCGTCCCCTGTGGCGGGCGGGCGGGCGGTTTTATTTATACAAAGTGCACCGTGCGCCTTTTAAAAGTAACTTGTAGCGGGTGCGGTCGCGCCGTGGCGGCGTCTCTGCGCCGACCGGCCGGCCGCGCCGCGCACCCATGTCGGAGACTCGGAGCGTCTTATGCCGCCCCCACTGCAGTTACAAAGCGAGCGAGCGAGAGCGCGTCAGTGTGTGAGCGAGAGAGTAGCGGGTTACTCAGCGTTATAGCATCAGTTCGCCGCGGTCTTCATGACAAATTCACATCATTCCGTCCACAACACGTTTGTCAGGCAGGACCAATTCATTCATCTTTAGTTTTACCATCAGTTGTTACATGGTGTGTGTGGCGCGGTGTGGCGCCTTCCTCTTGTGTTGTGTTGTGGGCGCGACGCCGGGCTGGCTCCCCGGGTGCGCCGCCGCCGCCACAGTATGCTCACTGGGCAATGGAACACTGTTTTAACAAAGTAATGTTATCCATTTTAAGTGAGCTATTTGTAGATGTTAGTAACCGAATAAACCAATGGATGATTTCATCATGGTGTGTCGTTGGTCGACGGAAGAGAGTGATGAGCGTCACTGGAGGGCGGCCAGCGGTCGGTGCCGGGTCAGGCCGCCGGCCGCGTGACCTGCCGCCCCCGCTCCGGGCGCCCGGCGCGGCGGAGCTGGCGGCTCGCCCAGACGCCGCTCATACCGGCCCAGAGTACACCGACACGGGTCAGACTGACGGAGCGAGGCGGCAGGCCGCCCAGCGAACAACACAGCAACCAGTTCTGGCCTGGTTGAAACCGCCCGGCGGGTGGCATGGTTTCGTGATGGCACGTCAAGATCATATAGCGTCTGGGACAGGTCATTTGCAATCCAGCTTGGCGAGGCGACACATGTCCAGACGCCAGCCGAAGCCAGCCGGCCGCACCCCTGGTCACGGGCGTTTGCCGGTGGGGGGTCGCGACCCAGCCGAGATCAGTCGCGCCGCGGCCCGACGACGCCATTCATTTTCATTCATTCTCTACCACAGCGGATGGTGCCTGTTTACGGCAGTTTGGCAGGCTCCGCCGAGCGCCGGCGCTCCGTGGCGTCCGGAGCCCTACCAGGGGGCGCCGGCCGCGCCCGGCCATGACCCCTGCGCAGACTCGGGGTGCTGCGGCGCTCGGAAGCGACTGTTTAACTTGGCCGGCCGGCTGGCCGCCGCTCCAGCCCTGCTGCCGACCTTGTGGCGCGCTGGTCAGACCTGGCTATCGGAGTCGATATCCGTGACTGGTCAGCTGCTCCACCTCCCGCGCGGCCCCGACAAACAGCTGGACGCTTGGGATGCGACAGACCGTGAGCGTATACAGACACCGATACACTGTGGACTGGAATGCAGTCGGCGCGCTGTGCCGTGTAATTTATCGCACCACTGGGAGCCAGTCACGTGGCAGCGCGCCGATCAACACACGAGTAACGAGCACAGTCCATCGTAGCCTTCCGACGATCGGCCGACGAATTCCGCCAACGAGCTCGGTCGATCGTAATGGCGGATCACCCGCGATCGTCTGCCAAACTACACAGAGCTAGAGAGGGTCAGCGCGGCACCGAACCCTTGCGGGTGGCAGGGTCGCTGGGGTCACTGACTGACCCCGGCGGCTCGTCAGTGACCTCTCACGGTCACCGTCCGCCGTGCCATCGCTCGGCACCAGTATAAACGTTTAAACGTTTTATCGGCGCGTCCCACCGGCTGGACGGCTAGTGACGGGCAGCGGCGGCGGACTGCAGCCGTATATGGCACCTGAAGACTAGTTCCATCGCACGGCACACGTGATATCTTGATTGACGTAGCCGCGTATACGGGTGCAGCCCACAGAAAAACGCCGGCTGTGTTTTAGCACGCCCGATACAGGACGGGCAATGGCCTTGATCGACTGATAGGTAGCGCTGGCATTACCGGACCGGCCCCGGTTCGGACAGTATATCCAACATCGCACCGCGTGGGGACAGGGAATACCACGGAGTTACGCGCCTACAACAGTATGCACGAGCTGAGACACAGTCGACAAAATGTATTTCACTTGGGCGATATACAGATAGCATTGTTTCATGTCGAAAGTCGCACCTATAGTGATTTCTTCTTGAACCGGTCGAGCACAGCCTTTTTGGTCGCGGTCGCCGCCTTGGCAGGGCCTTTCTCGGCCTCAATAAGGGCCTTGGACGCCTTCTTCGCCTCCTTGATGTATTTCTGAAAACAAACATCAGAGGGTCAGTATATGGTACAGACAACACCGAGCAGTGCATAACTTCACTAACGTTATCAATCAACAGCAGATGCTCCAAAATCACAGCATCGTATATCCTAACAAACAATAGGAAATGTTTCTTAATGTGCACTTAATCTAATGACATTCATGAATATTGTGATAACCGGTCACATATTAGCATGAACCATTGGAGGCACTAATTCTTCTTTGTGTAGCGGTCTCTGTTAATGGCTCTCTGATGAGTACTGGCATAAATATTAAGTGAGGCTCGCTGTCGCATTCCGGACCAAGAACAACTCTCAGCTTCGGACGATCCGTTCCAGATGCGTCCCGCACGTGTAAAAACACCGCCAGCAAACACTGTCAGCGACAGAAGACAATAAACAATCGACCCCTCCCCCGCCCGGCCTCGCCCCGGAGCGTACCCGCTGCTCGAGGCCTCGAACACCCTTCTTGCGTGCGGCCATTTTGCCGTCTTTGCTGCGGCCCTTGGTCTTCTTCCTGGGAGTGTAGTCGATCTTGGGCGTTTTGACGAACTGCGTGGCAAAACAGACGTCAAGTCAGCGGAGTGCGCGGTATACAAACATTTCGGACGGGCAGTGAGGGTCGTCGGACCGACCGGCCAGTCGGCTGTCCAACTGGTCTAAACCAGACTGACAAACGCTCAGACGGACGGACAGATGGACAGGAAGGACAGGCGGGCTGAAGGACAGGTGGACAGCTGAGTGTCGTCAGCGGAAGTACGCAGTTGATCACGTCTGCCACGCACGCACAATCGCGAACTCTCAGTGCGTACGCAGTTGGACACAAGGTGAACCCTTGCGTCCCTCGCTGCGATTCACACCTGGGATTGATCGGAGGACGAGATGGCTGGCGAGGCACCTGGTGGTCGTCACCAGACGTCACACCTGGACACATACGCACTGTCCCCCCCCCCCCACACACACACACCACACACAGACACACACACCACGCACAGACAAGACGGACGGGCTCACGTTGTGCCGAGGCCGCCCGGCCGGCCGGCGCGTCACCCCACGAGGCCACCCGGGAGACACATCAAGGACAGGCGCGGAGCAAAACAGAGCGGAGACCGCCAGCGGACACACCAAGGGTAAAGCCAAGAGAGCCACATCAAACAGCAAAACAATGGGGATTTTAGTCCGAAACACCATCGCAATTCTGCTAAAATTTACCATCACCAAACGTAATGAGTCACGAAGCTAATACTAATTTGTAACGTAAATAAAAACATGGTAAATAAAAATCACATAAGGCACATTAGATGCAAACAAAGTTGCAGCATCCTTTTTCATCTTATATAAGATGCAGCAACCTCTCCGCTGCACCTCATCAGCAACCTCATAAACGCCGTCATAGTTATCTCCAGTTATAAACTTCCATGTTATTATGTAACGTGTACTGCGTTGCAGCCGATCGCAGCGTAGGTGTTCTATTTTTGGGTGCGGTGTGGGGAGGGGGAGGTCGTCACTCACCAATAGTTTCTCCTTGGCCTGGACCTTCTCCTGCAGTGTGGCGGTGTCCACCTGTCCCAGGGCGACCGGGTCCAGCGTGATGAGCTCCGGCTGAATCTGTGGGTAGACGGGGAGATCGGGGTGAGAAGGGACAACAGTGGAGTAATAGACAACAGTGGAGTAATAGACAGGTGGCGAGTGGGGGCAGCCGTAGACACAGAGAGAGATGGAAACAGGCGCGATGAGCTCCGGCTGGATATGTAGGCAGGTGAGAGAGAATGAAGGTGAGAGGGGTAGATGTAGACACACCAAGAGGCATGGGTGAGCGGAGGCAGCTGAGGATGAACTGAGACTAGGGAGCAGCTAATTAGACAGGCAAACAGATTGAACCATGCATAAGACGAGAAGGACAATAAGACACAAGCAACGCGAGAGATGTGAAAAGTGCGAAGACGAGATGAATCTATATATAAATGCAATGAAATGAAATGCAATGAATTTTCTTGGCCCTATTTTGAATACAATTATAAGCATGAGGCTTAGGGTTTTCATTGCATTTATATATATAATCATGAGCCTTAAAACCGCGCTTTCTTTCATCATTCGACGAGATGAATCACAGATGTGGCCGAGTACCCGCGGAAATATGAGGGATCAAATGTGAGGCGGAAAACTAGGAGAGGAAGGAGAAAGAGAGAGAGGGAGGGAGGGAGGGAGGGAGGGAGGGAGGGAGGGAGGAAGAGAGAACTCATAAACAAATAAATAAAAACGTTGTCCTAGTCCAACGCGATCGTGATCAGAACCCCCTGCCAATGTCAATACCAAGTCCGTAGCAGTGCAGCTCCACTAAAAACTGGCGTTCGACGCGGTTCGCTCCCCGGACATTTCTCAGGCTCGCCAGGAATTCAGGGGCACCCCTGTTGCCGCTCCTCCACTGACCCACCCTCGTGACCTTTCTGAGCTAAGTGACCTCTGTGCCACCCTGTCCGACCGGCCAGCCGCCTCTAAACGACCGATGACCCGGCAACAGGCGGCGGGTCAGACGGGCGCGCCCAGCGCGGCCCACTTAATGACTAATGAGCTCTGAAATCATCACACTCACACCCATCCCACATGGCGCGCTGATGTGTCATGGCCTTGGCGTTGCGATTTGGGCGGCGCGGTGGCCCGGCGCGGTGGCGCCGCTTCCCTCCCGCCTGGGAAGAGACGCGCCGCGGTGCGAGTCCGTACCAGGAAACTGTCGCCGGTGCGGCTCAATGAGACATCGCGACTCGGCCTTCCGCGGGGGAGGAAGGAACAGACGTGCGTGTGGCTTGGGATGGAGGCGAGGGGTTAGTGGGGCACCATTAGGTCAGGAGAACGGGGGATGGGTGGGACAAGAGCTAGCCGTGGGACAGTTCCGGACATATCGTCTCACAGCTGAGCGATGGGACGAGGCCGGCACTACGGATACGGGTGCTGGCCTCGTGGATACCCTAAGAACCTGAGGACGTGACGACCGAGATCCATAAGAAGACGACGGAGGCCGTCTTCATCTTCCGCTATACTGAGCACCAGGTTTCCTTACAGGCGTAGCTGATTTGAGCCGCATAAATATGGCAGTACGAGGGATATACATGTGAAACGGATTCTCCCATAGGATACTAAGGATATTTGTTCCTTGTTTGTTGGGTTAGGCCCTTTCGGTCCAATAAGACCATTTCAGAGCCGGGAGGATGATAGGATATAGGGGGAGACACTGGTCTGGGCAGGCTCCGTAGTGAGTCGCTGGGGCTGAGCCCGTCCAGAGGACAGGCCAACCAGCCCCAAGACACTCACTGCACCCGGCTACGGGGTGCGCTCCCTCGGGAGCAGCGGTGCCGCTCCAAGGGACCAGCCCGCATGAGATAAAGCTGCCTGTCCAGCCCGGAGGAGTGGAGGAGAAGGATTTCAGTATCCTGAGGATAGAAGCACGGACAGGTGTGTACTAAGGATAAATAGGATAGGATACTAAGGATACTACATTCTGGAGTTCAACTGCGGGTTTACCATAACCAGTGGAGAATAGTGGAACAAAACGCATTCACCGTCCACTCACGACTTCGGTCATTGGAAACGATAAGTGATGATACTGAGTCACGCTGCAAGTCTTTCCAAATTGTATCAATCACCGAACCGAGTCATGCGGCCCCCGTACACATTTTTGTACATTCCCCGAGGAGTAGGAGGAATCGCGCTTTTTCAGCTGTACGCAGAGCACGCGGGCCGCCCCTGACCGGGTCAAAGGTCAGCTGCTCAGAGCCAAGGCCACCAATCAGTGGAGCGGGCACTGTGGACACTCGGCGCCGGGGGCCCGTTCAACACTAACCGGCGCCGGGCACACACGGAAATGTCAACACGGGAGTGTTTTCACACCCCGAATAGGCCGCCTAGCTATTTATACTCCCCTCTCACGGGCCGCATTTTCTCACACCGCGACAGAGGGAACGAGAGGGCACATTGCGTCACACGCTGAGTTCGAAACGTGTAACCGATGCTATCTCTAAGGGATATGTTACAGCACTTTCTATGCTCGATTCGCTAAACCGCGCAACAGGTTATACATTAGCAGGTAAGTCACACGGCAACCAGGGTCAGCCGGCGGCAAAAACTGTTTTCTTGCAAACAGGTTGTGGCGAGCGGCTTATTTGATATTTGCGGACGGACTCGGCGACAGAGCGGCTTTCGCAGGATTCCAGCGCGGTGTCGGGCGTCACAGGTCCCGCTCTTGCCGGATAGGACACACGGAACTGGGGCCGCGCGGCGCGGGTTATCAGAAGAGCTGCTTGTTGGAAACACTGCGGAAGACCCCAGCGCCACAGAGAGGCGATGACAAAAATAATACACGGTGTGACGCAAATTGCGCGAGTTATGCATAAGACGGCAGATATCCGTAGGTAAATGTTACGGCATAAAAGACTTTGAGGATTAGTGATAATCGACCTTGGCAAGGACAATGTGATAAAATACGGACATCAACAAAGAAGGTCAGGCATATCAGATGAGCACTACATGTCCAGTGGAACGGTATTCTCGCTCCCATATCGAACAACTGATGAGGTGGAAATCAACTACACAAATAAGCTTGCTTATCAAGGTCATCGACTATCCAGGCCAACTTCAAGACGCGCACTCGATCTGGATCCTCGAACTCTTTCACTCAAGGAAGCGAAATGATTTGAGCCGTTACTATCTCATATCTAGTCTGGTTTTGGGAACAGCCGGCGATGCATAGAGCCGGTAATATTCCATGCTGCGTGAATCCATGCACCGGGGATGTCTGTGTGCATGCCGGATATGAGGCATGAGAGAGCCTGCAAGCTAGAAGAACATTTAACTTCGGAGAAATGTTTTCGACACAATTACATGGAAAATGATGCGATTTAGCAGTTTTGCATTTCACTTGGTACGTGAACAATGAACTGAATCGGCAATTAGGAGTTGTTTAATGTGCAAGTTGCAAGCATGCGACAGGCATGTTAGCAGATAGTGTCAACTGGGAAGACAGAGCAGGCGACTGGAAACCTGATACATCGATGCTGCTTTTGTCATGCAGTCATGTTGACGCTCTACTGGTTGCACCCACGTATTGCATGTCAGTAACAAGTTTGACATCAAACTGCACCATTATTTGTTTACAGATGACCAGGACATAGTTGCAAGATTAACGGACATGATTCTCGGCAGCCCTTTCACATGCTGTGTACGTAAGTCACTGTAGGACGTCATAGGATGACTGGATGAAGCTCATAGGGAGAAGCTCATTCCTCAATCGTGAATATCCAAAAGACGTATTCACGATTTTCCCCACCCGGGCTATTGAAGCCGACAGTAACCGCTCGATATCCATTAATCTATCCACAGGTGTGCCTCAAACCATCCCGGCCAGCCGGAGAAATGAAGCTCATCGAGTGCAAGTCGGAAATCGATCGCGTCACTGTCCTTGTCGTATCACCCTGCCCATCATCGCACATGCATTCTGGCCACAGGAAACTGCTCGCCCGACGAGCCGGTTTGCCTCGCCGGTCACATCATCATCTGACTTCATAGCTATTTGCCACCCGACGTCCGTACGACCTTCGCTAGGCTGCGCAACAGGTTTTGCGCGCAAACAGGTAAGTCCCACGAGAAGGAGGAATGAGCGACGTCCGAAAAACTCGGTCTGGCAGCGGCCGCTCGGGCGCGTTTGAAGCCGGGAATGGCTGACACGTTTGCTGGCGTTCCGAGTACGAGCGCAGAGGTGACACCCGTCCGAGGCGCACTGTGGTGTGTTTACACACGACACGCGGGTCGGGGAGTGACACTATCACCTCGGCTGGACAGCGGTCGTCCGCCGGGACCGTCAACTATGCGCACCATCTCGTGCTGGCGCCGGCCAAGGTGCTCTTCACGGCATCGTGTCGCGTGGACACGATACGCGAGTAGTGTGCCACACCGTGACAGGGGCACGATGGCACCGAGGTGGGCGCAGTGGGGAAAAGGAGACAGCTCTCCCACTGCGCACACCCGATCGGTGGTGTCACCGCGCCACCAACTCACACTTACACACGGACGGCCACCTTAATCTGCAACACGGAACCGATCTAGTGGCGATACGATAATTCCCACTAATACTGATCCGATCCATACCGGCAGAGTCCCTCGAGAAGAAAAATGGACATCTGAGTCAACAACCTATCAGCACTAGACGGCAGACAACGCGGAAGCAAGGACATCGCATTTGCATTTCCTCGTCATCAAAACGACAAAAACACTTATCACAATGAGCCAAGGTGACTAATGCTAATATATAATCCAGTAAAAACGCTGCCCCAGACACGGACAATTGTTGTCCACACGTGCCTGTGTGACCGTCGGGGAGCCGGGAGCTCTGGGGCCGCGCTCTGAGCCGCGTGGGACAGTCGCCCTGTCACTACCGAACAGTCACAGGCACACGGTAACCAGACAAACACCCCATTTTACGGCACCTCGCGAACGAGTCGTATTGTTTGCTGGTGTTTGTTCAGTTGCATCACGGCTTTCCTCCGAAGAAGATATCATATCCGGAGAGGTCTTGTGACTTTTACCTATAATACCATCACGAATCGCTCTGATTTCCTGCTGTGGTGCTACCTGTTCGAATGGCACAAATCGGTGGCGCAGACAGAAAAACGTCGCGGTCGGAACATTTTGGTGGCGCTCCGTGCTAGTCTCCGTCCACGCACACCCAGTAATGACCCGCCACTCGGAGAACCAGTGCCGCCCCCGCCGATCGTATCGGAGCAGTGACTGCCACCCGACGGCACGGCGCCGCACCCCGGCCACCGGCCGCGAGCGCCCGGAAAGTCGCCGCCGCGCACACATCTCACAGGGGTTATTCATCAACAGAAAGGCGGAACATGACGTGAGCCTGATTCTACTAAGAACAACCTCACTACCTAATAACGCCCACGTCCGTCCATACTCGACAGGATGGCTGGAATAAAAAGTCACATCGCGACTAGGGAAGACAAGTCGGTACGTCTATTGATCGCCGTACTGCGCAGATTCACGGGCCTACATTGTCCAATCAAACAGACAAGGGCAGTCACCCCTGTCCGAAGGAATAGTTTAAAGTCGGATGTCATACAGATGTCCACTTCTTACTAGGAGTGACGCAATCTTCAGTTTGCATAGTAACCCTGCAGAGTTTATCCGAGCAAATGTGAAGTTAAGATAGAGCAAAGATTCCCAGCCGGGGGCTCCCCTCGGGGGATTACTAGGGCTGCATGTGGCCGTAGAGGCCTATGAGAGGCCCATGCCTCCTAATTCAAAGTAACGGACATTGTATATCCCCAAATAACGGTTGGGGGAAGGGAATTGATGTTGCATTAGCGTTAAGTGGGGGATCGATTCAAAAAGGTTGGGAACCCAACAGATTTAGAGATGAAAGTCACATCACAGTCGTTCTAGAAAACCCGCATAGGCATGATTTGACGTCACCGATGAAAAACCAATGAGCAAGACTATTGAGAAAAGTTTACGATTCGGAATATGAGACAACACATCAAACCAAATTGTTGGCTATGACAGATCACAGGATGATCAGCAGCCTCCAATAATTGATTCATCGAACAGCTGAGCGCCGTCATGCCCCGCTGATCACTCGCTCTTACTGCGTTCATGCATCAAAAGACGCTACACCAGAGATCCGAACCACCCATAAGGTGCCAAGGGTTACCAGTTTTCTTCCTAGCCTAAAGCAAGAGTGTCAGTCGACAAACCATGACAATGCCAATTCTGACAATAAAAAGACAGCTAAGCATATACGACACTCAGAAAAACTTCAGTGTTGGCTATATAACTGGTCTGACCACATTGTAATACACAGCACATTCTCCTGAGCAGGTACTTCCCGACATTCTACAATGCAGGTGCGCGACGAAGTATGTCGCCCATCCAGCCACTAAGTCGTCACTTACCTTTTCCAGCAGTTGTTTGACCTCCGCCTCACGCCGTTGCTTCTTGGTCTGGTACGGGTTGCTCTCGTACGCGTCAAAGTTGGCCTGGCCGGCACCTGAGGGCGGCAGGGAACAAAGGTCACTACATGAGATAGTCGTCTTCAGCCAAACAGGCTTGGCTTCATGTATACAGTTGGCGAGGTCATTAAACCGCTGTTAATTTCCACGCGCGCGTTTCCGGCGGGTATCAGCTCGGTATACATATTTACTGCGTTTTCGACACACGGCGCGCGCCTGCCGGCAGCAGCCCGGGGCGTCTGCCTCATATCAGTGTGTCCACGATCCGTTAGCGCGGCTGGCGCGCCTCACTGCGCCCTGGGGACGGCCGGCGGCACGCGCGGACCCCGCGGACCGTCCCTCAGGGCGGGGCCGCCCCGCCGGGTGTCGCCGCAGATAGGGAGGCGCCGCCCGTCTGCTGGAGCGGTCGCGGGGGCCGCCCGGCGCCCGGCGGTGCCTGTGGTCCGCGCGGCAGAGGCGCCCGAGCGGTGATACTTACCGTCCCCCCGCGGCCAGTTCGACACCTACAGCTCACCAAACAGTCGCCACAGAGATTGCGGGCCCGAGAGAGCCACCGTCCATCGACCGAGAGTGATGAAATCGGTGGATATGCCAAACACATTCAGCATTCTCAACATAAGTGACTCCCTTACTACATACAAGATAAACCAATCTTGTAGCCCAAGCAAATCCATAATCAAAACTCTCACCACGGAATGCATACAACGCCACAATTTGGCGATATCCTCTACCTAACCTTGTTACCGTAAACATCCCTTCCGTCCCTCAGGTCCCCTCCTATGGGGCTCCCGTCCCTACAGTCCCCTCCCGTGGGGCTCCCGTCCCTCCCTCCCGTAGGGTCAGCGCCGCCGAACCCCAATCTCCAGGCGGCCGCTCGCCGCGCCACCTACCGGGTACCAGCATGCTGGTGAAGCCGTTTCTGTGTCCGCAGCCGAGCACGTCCTCGTAAGGACAGAACTGGAGTCCGCTGACCGAGCCGGCCATCTTGTGTCGCAGGTAGGGCCGGTCCGGAGTACCGGTGATACAGTCGCGGTACACCTGCAGGGAAAGAGGGAAATCTGTCAGAGAGCACAGGGCGAGAGTTTAGGTGTCTATGATCAGGGTTTAAATGGCAATGGACATTATGCAGTGGCAGAAGGTTGGACTAGGGGTTCGAGGATAGAGGTACGAATGAGTGTTCAGAGGGTGGTATTTAGTTGCCAGCAGTGAGAGTTTAGCAGTGCCAAGTCACGATTAGAAGTCAGAAGTCGGTTAGACAAAATCAGCAGTTAGAGGTCGGGGTCGATCTTAGCAGTCAGGGACAAGGTTCAAGGTAGATCACGGTCAGATATCAGATCGCGGTTTAGCGACAGGGACAGAGGCGAATCATCTGGGGCGGCACAGCTTTACAGTTAACTAAGAGAGCCGATAAGGTAAGCGAACTGGGGATGACAGCTAAAAGAAGTGATGGATGCAATTTATCTGCCCAGCTGATTCAAGATAACGTTCTTATCTTTGCTATGACGAATGAGTTGGTATAAATGAAGCACCTGTTTACTGGTCTAAGTGATAAGGCTAGATTAGCATTACCGGGGCAAACGATATCAAGGGTCGGGAGACAATGGAAGGTAAGACGCATAAAGATAAGGAATCAAACGACATCGCTTTTTTTACAATGATTCACAATGACCATATTACCCGACCTGGAACAATGGGCGTCAATGACCCGCTTCCGAATAGATCGGCTCAATTTCCAGGACCTGCCAATGAGCAGCGGATGTGACCACTGACGACATAATCAGACGCCAGCCCAGCCCTGCCGGTCGGGAGCCGTCGCAGCGCTGCCGGGCCCATTGTCCCCGTCGGCAGCGGGTCTTCCTGCTCCTACAGTTAGCCTGCACCCGCTGCCCACCGGCCGCTACAATACAGTCCGGCGGCCCGGGCCGGGTGGTTTCCCGGAACAGCGCTCGGGCGGGTGGCAAGGCCGGTCGGTCAGGTGCTGAGACGCCGCCACCGGGTCCGGGACGGGCACACGACAGGCCGCCGGACCGGCAGCAGTTTTACGCACCGCCGGGAGCCGGAGCCGCAGTGACTTCACTGGCCGCATTGTGAGCGGATCGGCCGCCGCGCTGCCAACCGGCCGCCGCCACGCGACTCTAACACGCCGACCGGCCCAACAAGGCAATGGCATGAGGCACCATTGTGGCGGATAAAACTCGGCAATCCTGTTCGAGCGGCTACTTTGGTAAACCGGCTTTGACGTGTTCATTTGCTGACCATCAGCCACTAGCGCTGTTCGCTGATTAGCCGGATTAAGCCAGCGGTCTTTGTCTTTGGTAGCTGATCGCTGTGGCGGCGCTCTATCTCACCGGTTCCACACCGCTCAATACGGAGACCACGGGATAGTGTGCCGTATGTCGTGCGGTTTGGCCAAATGTCAGTGAGCCGAACTGGTTCCGTGATTCGCCGAACGGAGGCGGACCACACGCCGCGGACGGGAACGGACGGGTCGCCGCCGACCGCAGTCCGTCACACAGTACCTGAACGCCACGCCACACACCGGTGTACCTACCCTGGCCAGATACCCGACAGAGCTATAGACTGCGCTGGAGGAGGGGTAATTAATGGTAATTACGGGCTGATTAAGGGACTCGTACACTCATTATACATGGCAGACAGACGGATGCATATCTCAGCTGAAACCTGAAATTCGATACACTGTCACCCGACTAGCACTATGAAAGTTTTGAACATTGAACACCCATCCGTCCACGACCTTAGTAACAGAGAAGGCGCAACCCTTTCACCCAACACGGAGGGACCGTGAGCTACTGAGTACCTACCTCCACTGTGTTACCCACGGCGGCTGCCAGCAGGTGCTTCTGGCTCCACTGCAGGTGACTAGCTCCCGCACCCAGCCGGTACGACTGAAGACAGCCGTAGGTGCGCAGATCCCACACTTTTACAGTCCGGTCCACACTGCCCGTAGCGAGATACCTGACGAAGGAGGAACAGGGTCGGGTCACCGGGTCATTAGCAATGTGTCGTTATCACTGAACATGTGTCAAGCCATCGGGTGACACATTAGGGAGTGATTACACGGAACCTATACCCAAAGCAGTGGTGAACAGATAGAAGACAAACACCACAGGGTGGGCTTAAAAATAAGGCATGTCTCTTGCGATGATGATACTACTTGGGCTTGATGACGTTCTCACAGGCTGTGCTATGTGGTGCTCACTCATTCTGCCTTGCGAATCTTCCTGACACTTTGTCGTTCTTTTACTGCTGCTAGGAAATGTCAAGAGGGAAATAAAGAGATCTCCGCATTTCAGTGGGAATAATGCATTTCACAATTTAAATGCAACGTCTTGAACCCGGACTTCGCAACCGCACAAAAATCTAAATAAAGCGATGGGTAATGAACCATTATTACCACAAGGTTACACGCTCACAATACACAAGACTGCGACCTGCGGTCAGGAGCGGTAACGAGCTTTTTCCGCGGCTGTGCAAGCCGTTCCGCATCAGCGTTTTCGACACTTGTCAACAAGCCATAACAATAATGGACCGTGTCATGACGGCACAGTTGCGGCGAGCGAGCGGGAGAGCCTTCCAGGAGTGCGGGAGAGTCACGTGGTCAGCCTGACACGTGGACAGATACCCTACTCGCTGACACAGGCGCCAACGCTTCCAGGACCGCGGAAATCAACCCCAATTACGTCTTAGAACCGTCTGGACACGGCAAGCTATTTGCAAACGAAAATAAACCTTAGCGAGACGTGTTTGCTCCTCTCAATCCGGAAAATGGTAACCAAAACTTCTTAACATGTCACTGTTTGACCCCGAGATCGCCCAAATATTTATCCTCTAATACGCATCGCTTGGATTAAATGGCTAAAACAGGCCAGCTTCATGCGCCAGACGGCCAGAACTCTGCTACGAGATCAGTCAAATATGTGTAAACACACACCGCGTGACCCAGCACGCACAAAGTAACACAGACAGAAACAGTTGCATCATTCATCGGAAACCTCCCACAAATTCATCCCAATCGAGACAGCGGGGTAAACTGACCCCATAGAGAGGCTACATCATGTCCCAAATGAATCAGCACCGAACGGTAATCAATTGAGAATGTAATGCCGCTATCCAAACATAACATGGCATTGGACACTGCTCAGAATATTTATGGAAGCATAGATGTCGTTATTTTCCATGCAAATAAGACTACCGTCTACCAATTGTCTGTTCACGTGGTATTGTCTAAACAATGTAAACGTAACGATTCTATTCAATTTGGCATCTAAATGTGCATAACTTTTCTTTTGTATGGTTGAAAGCTCAGTTAGTTAAAAGTGAAATCGTAAGCAGATGAGCGGATTCACATTCGATCCCACCAGAAAAAAAAAAAATCCATTTTGGTATTCATTTCTAGGTGTTCACCTGTTCATATTAGTGCCTATCTTTCATTGAAAAGAATGAGCAACTTCACTGAGGGTATACCATCTATTAGAATTTAAGTTTGCATCTGTCAAATCCCTTCCAGCATATTCCGAGAGAAGGCAATATTCTCAAACCAAGCCGTTTCGCTAATTCTCTTGCCTGCTCCATCTGTCCTTCCAACGCCCGTTAAGCCAGTAGTCTACTCTGTAGATACAGTTCGGGACACCACAACCACAACCACGGCTAAGCCGGGAGCGACCGCTGCGACATCTCCCGGCACTCGTCCGAACGAGTCTAAGCCGGACACCCTGCCAGTGCCACATCCAGCGAAACGGAGTGTTCAAAGCCCAGAACACAGCGAAAACCAGTTTATAACGATAAATGGCAATTTTATGAGAGACAGTAAATTTCGTCATATTCTATTAAGTTGCTAACAATATTCTAAGAATCGTCAAACGCTTGCACGTCAACTTACATAATACCAATGCACACAAATTTATCGTTTGAAGTTTCTAAAGAGAGCTCTAACAACATATTTGCAAATACGTCAATCCTCCGTTCCGTCGTTTCCATCCTCAGGATAGTCAAATCCTTCTCCTCTACGCCTCCATCCCTGTTGCGGGCTGGACGGGTAACTTTATCCTATGCGGGCAGCTTCATCCCAGGAGCAGGCCCGTAGCCGGGTGCAGTGACTGTCAGGGGGTTGGGTGGCCTGTCCAGACCAGGTGATAGGCTCAATCTCGACGGGTCACCAAGGTGCCCGCCCAGGTCAATGGATCCCCTAATTTCTAGCATTCTTCCGGCTCTGCAATGATCTCATTAGACCGAAAGAGCCCAACAAAACAAACGAACAAACGCCAATCGCTAATTATATCCCCGTGACACTGCTTTTCATCTGTTCCCAGTAAGTCTCCACCACCCTTCATCCTCCCTTCTCTCCCCTGCTCTATCTCCCTCGCCTACCCTCCATCCAAGGCTTTTATCTCCAGCCCTCCCCTCTCCCTTATCACTCACATGCCGGGGTGATCCACTCTCCCCTCATTCCCTTCCCCTCTCTGCCTCATCTATCACAACCTAAGCCCCTAAAACATCCTTCCCTTCTCCCCTCCTCACTCACGTGCCGGTGTGATCAACGCTGACCGCCTGGACAGGATGTGGGTGGCAGAGTATCTTGGCCACGGGCTCCGGTACGTTGGGCGTCCACATGCTGACCACACCGCGCGTGTGACCCAGACACAGCACGGCGTTCGCTGGGTTCTGGCACATGACGCCCAGTCGGCCCATCCGTGTGTGCGTCTGTGTGACGATCCGGCCCGTACTGACGTCCAGCCAGTTGAGAAGGCCCCGCTCCGTCTGTTGGATGGGAAGAGATCAGGTCAGGTCAAGTCAGCTCGGCTGAGCTGGTCAAGACAGTTTAGCGAGCCACACTACATTCGCCAGATCTGTCAGGGTTGAGTGTTAAATCAGGTCATATCAAGTCAGTTCAGACTAAACGGCTGTTTTACGACTTACTGTGGAGGGAAAAATGTCGATAAGACGCCAAACCTAGAAGTTACCCGGTGCCCTTAAATAGACTTATGACAGTTTGAAGCACGTGCTGAACCAGGCGAAGGTCGTGAATAAAAACACAATGACGGCTATTCACAATCAAGGTACACTCATATGTTGTTGCAAGCAAGGATCGAACCCGTGGCGCCAACAGGTCTACCGAATCATACCGCCGTGCACACAGTTCCATTGATTACTTCAGAAAGGCACCAGCCCCATTCTTTCCGAGTCCACCATCAAAACCCCCACAGCCATGCGGCTACCGGGCGAGGAAAACACAAAAGCCTGATTGCGCCGCCGGACCAATGGTTTCTGTAAACTCATCAAAGTTTTTAGTGAAGCGATGTATCCGGACGGCAGGGCAGGCCAACGGACGCGGCAGCGGCGGCCACCCAGCGGCGCTCAGTCGGTGTGACGTCACAGGGGCGATAGGATCACCTGCTGATACGGGCGGCTGTGGTCGAACGGTACGGTACGGTACGGTACGGAGCGTCGTCAGTGGGGCATAGATGGCCGCGGCGACAGGTGGACTTTGCCCAGAAAATGACATCTCTCCATTCATGCATTTTGATCATGAGAATTTAAAATCACTTGATGCTTCGAGAAAGCAAACTCGTATGGTACAACACGTGTTGCAATCTTGGCGGTGAAAAAAGTAAAAACCCGTCTACGGAACGTAAGCCGGAAAGTTTCTAGGCAGGATCGAACCCAAGGCATTTGGATAACCCCTGCCGCTAACACGCTTTGCGCGTTAACATCGGAAGACACCGCTCGAAGCCAAAAGAACGCACGCCTTCCAAAAGCAAACCCCTCCGCGGACATAATGCGGTCACACGAAAAGCCTGATAGCGCCGCCAGACATGTGGGTTGTGAACCTTTCCGCAAAGTTTCTGTTTGATACGATGAATCCGGCTGGCCAGGCAGGCCGCGGAAGGCGGACGCCCCGGCCGGCCGGCTGTGCGGTAATGATAAGTGACGTCACGTGACGTCACAGCCGGCGATTGCGCCACCTGGCGCTGGCGCTGGTGTGACGGCCGCCGCCTGGACCGAGAATGGGGCATGGTGCTACCGGCTTGGGTAGACAATAGAACTTGGTGGTGTTTCACCGGTGATAGCAGCACGTGTCAAATTGGGTTTCCATGGAGACGTCAACAAACCCATTGCTCCAACACTACAAGTGTGACGTCAGCAGAATAGCAGCGTGCTGCTATCACCGGTGAAACCTGCTATCACCCTTCACGCAAGCAAGAACGTTTCGGGTATTCGAAACACTTATCGCCATGACCATACCTACGTTTCGGGTATTCTTTTCCACATTTTCCATGCAAATTGGAATAAGATGATCGATTCCATTCTGCGAATGCTCAACGGCCCCAGGATGCATTCCAACTTTGGTCAGACATTGGCCATTTAAGAGCGCAAAGATTCCCCTCGCGTTCGATGTCTCTCTGACGACGAAGATTCCATGCCGCCCGGCCAATCCCGTTCAATGTCAGCGGGGGCTTGGCTGCAGTTATGGAACGGGATTGGCCAGACGACGTAGAATCTTCGTCGTAAGTAGGCTCTACCATAGTACATTTACAGATTGCCTATTATGTGGGCATTATGCTGTCACGTCACCCAGAAAAATCCATATACCCGACGCAGTTTTCTACATTCAGATGAATCATGGGCACGTTTAGGACAGGGCTCATGGAAGTAAGAGTCGAAATGTGAAGATACTTTTATGAGTCATGGGTCAACCTTAAAAATCGACAAAATATGGAAAGAAATAATAAACTTAAAATTTTACGACGCTCAAGAAACAAGTATTTTTCAGTTTGGATGAATAAATTTAGATTCCGGACCAAAGTCACCGATGGATAAACCAGTCCCCGAGAGCCGGGGAAGAATCAAGGATGGGACTGGTGGAAGTGGAACCGAGATTGAACCTAAATAACTGAGCATGACCTAGCGTGGGGCGACCTAATTCCCTTGTCTTCTAGCTTTGAAACCAAAATGGATGCATAAAGCACTCACACAGCAGGTCAGTAGGAAGTGGTAGGGCAGGAACTCCAGCTTCAGCGCCCGGTGCAGCGTCTTCAGACAGTGCAGCTCGGTGCCCTGGCTGTCGTAGACGAACACCCACTCCTTCTGCGCCACCGCAAACATGTTCTCGTTGTGCAGCCACCTGGCGACGGAGGCGGGAAGCGTTAGTACGGCGATAGATTGACCGTAGCCTAACGATGGACGTGAACATGAGGCAGCATTTCGAGACACAGAAAACCTACACTCAATGAACAACGAACATGCGATTTAAATAAAAACATTGCAATTTTATGTCTGAAACCACTACCGACCATCATTTCTCCTCACTCGCAAACGAAACACCCAAATCGGCCCCCTAAAACCCCGGCAGAGCCCGTTCTCACTTGACGTCATGGACGGACTCGCCGACGGAGACCTCGCACATCAGCTGTTTGGTGACCCAGTCGAGGGCGGCCACGTGACCCAGCGACCCGCCCAGCACCAGCTGGCGGCCGTTGCGCGTATAATTGGCGCAGTAGGGGCCGAACTGGCGCAGCCGCAGCTCGAATTGTTTGGTGGCAGACGTGATGTCGACGGCGTCCCGCAGATCCGACTGACTGATATCGGCAGTGTCCTCGCCCTCGTCCGCATACAGGAAACTGGGGGTAAATCGCAACACGGTATAAGTTGAGGTCAAGGTCAAAATGTGTAATGGTCACGATTAACGGTCACAGGGCAGACCTCGGACGAGTTCCCACCGGACCTCGGGTCAGGTAGAAATTCATGTTGCGGTAAAAGACGACGGCAAATGGCAACGGCGTCACCAACAGCAAAAAAGTGTCATTTATTCGCCGCGAACCAGACCGATCAAAAATAACAATCAAATATGCAAAGATATCAATGAATGCAAATATAGCTTTAAGTTCTAGCCGATTCTGTCCTTTCACAAAATCCTTCAAGTTTAAGTAACTTAGCACGTGCGTCGTGCACCACACTAAATACAATGAATCCGTGAGTTCCCCACCAGTCATTCATAGCCCCTTTGCCCTATCACGCCCGCAGCACGGTCCTCCCCGCCCTCTGAGATCCGACCCACTGACCCATCCTCCTCCTGAAGCAGCATCTCGCCGGTGGCCATCTCATGGAGCGCCTGTTCCGTGAGCCGCTCCCGGCGCCAGGCGTGTGCCTGGTGCGGGCCCGGCCGGAGGGACGACACGTCCAGCCCTTCGCCCCAGTCATACTTGTCCAGCTGTGAGTGAGAGTGTGGTACCGGTCCTGTGGGCAGAGGACACAGTGAGGTGGCAATCAGGATGGATGCGTGAGTAAACAGAACAGACAGTCTGAAAAGGCATTTTATTGATGTCTAGTGTAAAAATTGGCAACAACATTCAAAGAGAGGAATCCTTAAAAATCCTTTATACAAATTCTCAAATCAGTTATTGGATGCCCTAAAAGTCATAACTTCTAACTAAATAATCACCTGGGAATGGATCTCCATCATCAGCATTTTTAGGCCTGTTCCATGGCTGCCTGGTCCTATTGTCTTTCTTCCGATCAGCTTTCAAAACCTGTGTGGCCTTTGAAAGCTCTTTCAACTTGTGTGGGACTCGGCCCTGCTGACGAAGCTGCCGCCGTTCCTTCTTCGTCAGCACTTTGGCTGACTCCATGACAGATAACAAATACTATAAAAAACTATTCTTCAAATGTAACACTCCAAGAACTGCAATTGCTTTGCATGTCCCAGTCCTGAAAAAAATGAACAGTGGATGTTTAAAAGCACAATGAGTAGCCTATGGATGTGCAATAAAATAACCAAGATGAGCACCCAAACAACAAACTTGACCAGCCCAATGCTTCAGTGAGATTGCATAAGCACAAACTGCACCCCCCTGTTCTGAACCCTGAACCAACCAGCATCGACTGCAGTGGTGAGGGCAGCTTCTGCCTACTCCAATTGCTGTAACTGTTTCAGGCTGATACTGACTGTTCATTATCAGTGGCAACTGGTAATGGGTCACGACACACTACAGAGCACATTCAATGGATGAGTTGGGGCTGGACTGTGTCAGTTGTCAGGCCATGTGAATGTGGCTGTTTAGAGACGCAGGTAGCAGTTATTACTTTGACTTGGTCCTTGGACTAGCGGCTAAGGCCAGGGTCATTAGTTGGTCTTGCTAACTTAAACTTTGTTTTAGAAGTGAAGTGTGATTTCTGTGGAATATACCTTCTACAGTCAGCCCACAGCCTTGAGTCAGCCAATACAATGAACTTTTGCTTACATTTCTATAGGAACCAAGCAAATGGCTTTTATTCTTAACTGACGAGTGACGCACAATGTGAAAGTGGCACAAAATGACCGTCCACATCTGTATACTTCACTGAACGCACGGCACAGTAGAATATTCGGTATTAGTATACATTAGGTCCGAGTGGACAATTGTGACGCTGTTGATACAAATATGTAACAGCAAAAAAATTAGGTTGTAGGTTAGGTTAGGTTGTAGGTTTGTAGGTTTTAGGTTGGTAGGTTTGTAGGTTTTAGGTTGTAGGTAAATAGGTAAGGTTAGGTCAGGTTTGATTGTTTTTCTTTTATTTCCAAGAAATATAAGTATCATTTTTGGATTCAGGATGTCAAATAATGTAAGAATATGAAAACTTTATCTTTTAACAGTCACTCGGATTTCATGTATACTTTTACCGAATATTCTGCAGGAATTATTCTTCATCCAAAGAGGCATCAAACATTCCTACAACTTCCAGCAACAGCTGAAGTTGAAGTGCTGAAAACATGGCAGATTTACAAGGTTTTGGAGCTCAGGAACAGAAACGCAGCTTATAAGCAGGCACCACCGGTCACGGTTGAGAGCAGAAAGAAGATGCCCTTTATACGTGTCAGCACTGCGCATATAGGATCCAACTCTCCTAATTTCCCCAGCCCTTTTTGCAATCCCTTATTTATATCATAACGCAAGCACACGCACCACACGACACACACACACACACACACACGACACACACACGCGCGCACACACGTGTTTCAGACACACGGGACACACACGGCACAGCGACGCGAGATATTCAAGATCAACGTTCTATTCATGACTACAAAAATATTTTCAGGTATATTTAAAATGACGTCATGAGACCATCCATCATTGAATGGAACTTACTGTAAAATTTGTGAACTGATGCAAAGATACGAACGCAAACTGTGCGAGATCATAGTGATTGATGTGATGCTACAAAATCTTAAACTTGATCATAATATTCAGACTAATGAGGGTCCTGGTGAAATTCAATTTTTCGAGGCAGGCGCATACGTCACTAAACTTATCAATCGTATCCCAAAATAACTTTTATTTCGAATGTGATTTTGGCGCAGGCGTTACAAACACGGCGCGGGCGTTGACGCCTGCGACACAGTCTGCCGTTGTGATTTTGAGAGAATATTACTTGCGTTTAGATTACAACTATCCAACGCAATTTAATATCAGTGTTTCTAGCCCAATATATCCTTCGTTTGATATTTTTAAGGAGGAAAATCATTATTGTTTGAGTTGTACCTGAGCTAAGCAAATATGATCAAGAATCGAAGCCTTGCTGGAAAGTGGGCAATAGGCTTGTTTTCTCTCACATTAATTCTTGTAGTACTTGCTTTTTCAACTCAGAATTGGCTCGCCAGTGACGACCGTTTCTATGGCGCAAAGTTGGAGAAAATGGGATTGTGGGTTCATTGCTTCAGGAGCCTTACTGGCCCAAACGATCCCACGCAGCGTCTGTTCTTCAGTGGCTGTCGCTGGCTGTTTGATACCTACACAACAGGCTATGCTGAGATTCGAAGCCACTTAACACCTCGTAAGTATGAGGTTTATTTTCATTAGCATTAGACTGTGCATCTATTTGCACATAAACCTTTTCATGACATGTATTACAGAAAAGTATAAGTAGGTAGGTACCTTCCCAAATTGATTGTATACCTAATGATGGAAATGTATTGATTTTTTCAAAGCATGTGTGACTCGTGGAGTGGTTTGCTATTGCATAAATTCTACAACATGACTTCAATTAATCAGATAAACACCTAAGATGCCTACCTCCTCAGTAAACTTGGTTCATGGCTGTTCCTCAAGCCTGCTCCTGCTCAACTGATTATAATTCTCAAGTGTTTTGGGTATGATTTTTTGAATGCCGCATGCACATCTACAAATTACATATTTGTCAAACTGTATACACTTTGTGTGTCTTTTCAGCATTCTTCATAGCTGTGCAGATGTTCTACACCCTGACTTTCATGTGCACGGCAACAAGCGGAGTTCTGGTTCTGATGCTGATGTTTTGTATCGACGAGGACCGTGAAACGTGCTTCCTGAGAGTGATCGCCACTCTGATGGGACTGTCTGGTGAGCTCTCTGTCAGATACCAAGTTCTTGAAACTTGAATCAGAACATACCAACCAATTTCTCTGACAGAACATGCCAACACATATTTCTTGAATTATGATCACATATTGATTACATTTCACCAGCCATAGTTGAGATTGTCAGTATCTAAGTAACATAGGCTCTACTTTTGATTGGCTTCCTATCTACATATGTTAGTTGTCTTGTCATAGCCTCGACATAGCCTGGACACACTGGAGCATATGACTTACAAAGATTTTAATCAACCCCGTGTTCGCAGTCTCCCGGACGACGAAGATTCTACGTCGTCCGGCCAAAAGAGTTCGATAACCGCGGCCCAGCCCCCCCCCCGCCCCCCCCCCCCTCCCCCGAACTCGAACGGGATTGGCCGGACGGCGTAGAATCTTCGTCTCCGGGAGACTGTGAACGCGGGGCAAATTTCATAAACCAGCAACTTCATATTCAAGACATAGACAATTGATTGGCTGGATGAGCTGACACGAATTGGCCGGCTCGCACTGATATCGGGCGTGTTCCATTACAGGCATTTGCGGCACGTTGTCTGTGATCATATTCGGCGCCAGCGGTCGCAGCTACGAGTGGACCGCCGACAAACAGCACAACTATCTGTCCTGGAGCTACGGTCTAGGTAGGTGCTGCTGGCCCGACGGCCCAGCCTTCGTACTATTTAGGTATCGGGAACGGAGAATGACTCCACTCCACTGCATGTCCTCAGTCCTCTCCCCTGGTGTAGGTACATCAGTCGGTAGATCCAGTCAGCCTAATTGCTTTCTAACTCTTACGTGATATCCTATATCGGAAGTAAATGTTTTCTTAGCACTGATATCAACGTTTTGAAAAGTTGTTAGTGTCAGCACTTCCAGCAGCAGCTTTCCTTGGTCCTGGGAGGTTGCTTTTTTTAGTGGGATTCGAACCTACCTTTTGTAAGGTACGTTCAGAACTCTGCTCAATTTTCGCTAAATCCAAGTAAATGTGAAACTCTGCGACATTAGTTTGATTCGCTTGGTTGCTCCCTTGTTCAGCGGTTATTCACATTCCCTCTAAAAGCCTGATTGCGCCGTCAGTGACATATTATCCATAGGAACTCTGTGGGAGAGAGTGCATGAGCGAAGCAACTGGCTGGCAGGGCAGGCCGACGGAGGCAGCATCGTCGGTTGGGTCGGTCGATGACTCGTTGGCTGTCGTGTGACGTCACGTGACGTCATCACATGTGGACGGTGTTATCACTGCTCGCATTCCGTTGTTGCGAACAGACCGCTGGTGGCTGTGGGCGCTGAAATCGGCGTAAAAGTTAACAAACTAGCGCAAATGAAAACTATACTATAAATTGTTGACGTAGATATTTTAGACGGTGCGAGGTGTTATAAAGACAATCTTAGAGTTTTTGTTTTATTCGAGATGGTTGTGTTCAGGACGGCTTGAATGTTTTGAAAGACAGCTGAAAAAAAAACTATTAATTTGTAAGTCTAGTAAATGATAAAAGGTTTTGAAGCTTTTCGCGGAATAGCCTGCATAATTTACCTCGCCAGTTGCACACAATACCCATAGCGTCGCCTAACTACGTATAACCGGTGTCATTTTTTTTTTGTCTTCGTGACTCGTCCTCGACTGTAATTGCATAAAATCCAGCATCTTGCATGTTGTACTAACAGAGCAACGATAGGTGTCTCTCAATGATCCTCACCTTAATGCATCGCAGCATTGTAGATAACATGACGCTGCTGTCTTCTATACATCGTTTAGGCTTATATCCATGGTTGTGCTCGACTCAAAAAAATTTGCCGACTCGACTCAGCATTCAACTTCAGAAAGCCCTGACTCAATTCTGACTCAAACAAGGAGCTGATTTTTTCCCTTGACTCGACTCATGACTCAAGCGGCTCGATGAAAATATGAGTCGACTCAAACTTGACTCAAATTTTTTCGTTGAGTCAAGTTACTTGACTCAAAATTGACTCAGATAAAAAAGTCGTTGAGCGGGGGGGGGGGTGAAAAAAAATCCGGCAGCCAGGACTAAGTTGTTAAGCGGGGGGGGGGGGGGAATGAAAAGCTTATGTATATAGTTTCTGGAAAGTTGAGTCAGCTGACTCATGTTCCTAAATGTTTGACTCATCTCAATGTCAAAAGTTATTTTACTGACTCAACTCTGACTCAACTCAACGCCTTAATATTTTTGTCCGACTCAACTCTGACTCAACTCAACAGCTCAACATTTTATCCGACTCGACTCAAATCTGACTCATTTGAGTCAGAGTTGAGTCAAATTTCTGCCTCGACTCATGAGTCAAGCACAACCCTGCAGTTATATCATAAAGAACACGACCCAGCTAATTTGTACTGAGTAGCATCCAGTAACCCTATCGCTTTTCAGATGTGCATGTGGACCATTAACGTTGGCATGTGGCAGACAATGTATTATAATCGAGTATAACATGGTTTTGGTTCTGGGGGTCGAACCCGCGCCGATCGGGTCGCTGGATCAGCTGCTCAGCTGACGCGTCGGCTGCCCGCCAGGTGTTCTGGCCAGCTTCCTGGCCCTGTGCGACATGACGCTATTCCTGGTCGATGCCCGCATCAAGCAGCGTAAACTGGAGGGCCGCGGCTCCACCCGACCGAAAGTCAAGGATACAGAGATATAGTGGCGTTCCGGCCGCCACGGCAGAGGCTAACCATGTGCTGGCACGGTGAGAGGCTAACAGGCGAGGGGCTTGCTTACTAATGATGCTGCTGCCAAGGCGACAAAGGTATTCTGTAACCCATTACCACTGTGTGTAAATGACAATGTGCATGATTAATATGGGCTGTTTGCTAATTGTGTTTCGCTATTGCTAACAATGTAACATGCTTCTTGCTTTGGCTTCATAACCAATTTGGTCCTCAGGTAAACATAAGAGATGTCCCACGATATCTCTTATGCTGCTATTCAGTATTCACGTTCACGTACGCACATGGAATCAGTTTTGAATCTTTTACTCACTGAGTCACATACCTGCTCACTCACATGCTTACTCACTCACTCACTCACTCACTCACTCACTTATTCACTCGCTTACTTTGTCGTTAATTCATTCACTCACCCTCTGGCACTGACCCCCTCGCTCGTCTAGGCACTCACGTACTTATTCTCTCGTTCCCCCTCCTCACGCACTTTCTCATTTACTCATTCGCACTTAATCACTCACTGACCAGACACCAGCTCACTCTCACTCTCTCCCTTCTTCTTCGCGGCCATTTTTATTCATTCTTCTGTCTCTGCTATCCGATTCCATTTCCCTGTTTCCGGATCTGAGTTTCAGAAGGAGGATGCTCGGCCCCCGTTTCGCCCACTGTGCCTTTTTCCCTCACGATGAGTCACAGACTTCTCTATATATCCACAGACTTTTCCACAGGCTTCTCTATATTTAGAGAAGTTTGTGAATGAACTTGGTTAGGTGTTTGATCAGACACTGAATAAATGTCAGTGGTTTTGGCCATTCCCTCATGAGTCTGTCCCCTGGGAGACGTGTCCCATTGTGTGCGAGATGCTTCAATTCGTCTATTCAGCACACGACGCATGTTTCAGCCGTCCTCGCGGCGTTCCTGCAGCTCGTGCTCTGCGTACTGGTTATCAACGAGGTCAGAATCACAAGAAAGAAACACAGTCGCATGATGCCGCCGCAGCAGGCAGCAGAAGTGGATCTGTAATTGATACATCGCTACCCAGTGGCAATGTTAACAACTTCAGCTGCCGGCAGCGCCACCAGAGGCGCTCGTAATCGTGTTTGTTCTATGGTGAACATTGATATGTTCTGTTACGTGTACCGTGGTTCGGAGGAACTGATCTGTGGAAAGTGTATCGTTTTTATATGAATCTCTTTTGAAGATGAAGTCGTGATCTTACATTTAAAAGCCGACTTCCACTTCAGCTAAAGTTATCTAATTACCTGGATCGTCCGTCTGTTATCTCAACTCATAATTGAGCTCATATGTTACAACCTTTTGCATTGATCTTTGATTCTGTACCGTATTTAGAAGCAGCAAACTTGTAACTTGAAGGCTCGACGTTTTTTTTTTTTTTGTCTCGTTGACAAATGATGGGCATGCTGTTGTGAACGAGCGTTGTTGTTTGAAGCGCGCCGACCAGTCTTCCGTCCACAGCTGCAGAGCAACTGTCCGTCCAGATAACGAATCTCAGTGTACATTCCGCCGCTTTTTGCACACGTATCCGTCCGCATATGCTGCTGACAAACATCGCTGAAGGTTGCACTTACCGAAGCTGCGGTGTTTTCGTGAGATGCTGTACCTAAACGAGACGCACTGTCTAGCTTAGTACTCATAGTGTAATGAAGATTAGACGTTTTAGGTGCACCTGTTTGAAGTGGCAATCGCTTTATTCATCTCGCATGCGATATGCGTATTTTTCTATCGCATTGTAAGCTGGGATTGACGGCGATATTGCTCCTATTCGGGGCATGTGTTTATCCGCTTGTCTTTGTAAATATATTCCGCTGCATCGGAAACGCATGTATGAAAATTAATGCCATGATAATCGCATTCTCGTAGAATGTATATGAACATCGTAAAATGAAAAAAAGCGAAGACGATGCATCAATGTCGCATTTTCACAAATTTGAGCTACCTAAATATATTTACGTGCAAAACGAACATTTCGCTCGTTACGGGAATCACCGACTCTAGTCAAAGAGACGAAAACGCGACGGTCCAAGGGGCAGAAAAATGTGGAAATCATATTATTTCTAACAGATATACGCGGGAAAGGAATTTGGGTCGAAAGTAACCGTCATGAGCCATAGTATTCCATAAGGCATTACAAATCCGACAGGAAACCGCCGTACCAGGGGCGGATCCAGAAAATCTCCAAGGGAGGGGCCATTAGAAACCAGGAGGCCCCCCCCCCCATAATCCCACCTGTTGGAGGCCCCATCTTCCCACTTGTTGGGCCCCCCCCCCAAAAAAAAAACTGCGTCTATTGAGCTTATCTAGCTGTTCAGGCAACATCTCAACATCTGTGCAGGCTTGGAGGCCCTCTGTGCAGGTTAGGAGGCCCTGTAAAAGTGGTCATCTCTGTGAGTATAAGAGACCTCCAAGTTATGAAAAGCTTTACCAATCTTCTAACAAAGAAGTCTTCTCAGCTAGTCTTCTAAGAAATAACTAAGTGGGTAGGTTAAAAAAACTCATCGGATTTCGGCCACTTTATTTTCAGGAGGCCCCCTTTTCAGCTTTTTAACTTTTTATTTTATTTTTGAAAAAAAAAAATCGGCCAAGGTGGGGGGCCATGGCCCCCCCCCCCCTTGTATCCGCGCCTGCGCCGTACTGATTAACGTAGAGGCTATCCAGTCCATAAAGCTAGTTCTTTCAAAATAAAGATGAATTAATAATTCAGCATGGTTCTCACAGCCAGGACAGAAGTTACACTGTCCTTCTTACCACGTCTCTTTCTCATCGCGTGACGTCGACATGCCGGATCAGCAGATCCAGAAAGGCGGGCTCGGGCGCTGGGGGTCCCCGGGCATATACCCCATAGTTTTTTGTTTTTACAAATTCCAAACGCTTTTTGGCTTTTGATTCCTTATGCACTGCTGTGCGGTTTAGGTGGGTTTAGGACACCTTTTTCCTATAAAGGTGTTCTAACCCATGTTGCAAATTGCAATGCCTGACCGTAGACGTTACAAAACTTCCTCAGGCGGCGAACAGCGAGTACCGAACAGTAAATACGCTGTGCCGTATGCCCGGGTGCCCTACGGCACAGTCCGCCTTTCAGGCGACCACGACTCCGCGAATGTGGAGACTGCAGCTCCAACCAGGAACATGTCCGCGTCCCAAACAGATGAGATAGGGCTAGCTTTCTATGGATTATTGCAGTCACCGATCGCTTCAAGCGTTATCTGTATTTACTGCGCTGATACGTTACGGCCTCTTTGTGTTTTCACAGTCTTCGAGCCCATGATTATAAAGTGCTTAACCTTCGCCCCAGTGCAGTGGGGGGGAGGGCATATATGTTACCACCCTGCCGCGGTTTTACGTGTGAATAAAAAACCGCGGCGCGTAGCGCCGCGCCGCTTGGGGTAGCTTTTGGTACATCAATTTTGGACAATGTGTGAAATTTTTGACCCCAGGTCATGTCAGGTCAGGTCACCAGGTCAAGTTAACTGACCAAGCCTAAAAAAGTTTGTAATCCTCTCCAGCCTGCAGTGTTTGTCAGAAAGGTTTGAAACTTGATGGATTGCATGATGGTATGGGCGCCTACAATTTGTATATCTCGGATTTTTTATATCCGTGACCTAAGGTCAGGTCAGTGGCGTGACCTTTCCATTACCTATAAGTCAATGGAGAAAAACGAAAAGGCCTCTGGATCCGTGTTTACGCATAGGAACAGTCCAAATATTTCAGAATCACAATGATTTGGACCACCCGTGACGACCAAGGTGTCGTTTTTGCTGATAGCCTCTAGAAAGGTCATCCGAGGTCATTTGAGGCTACAAACAGATTTTTGCCAATAACTCTCGATTGGAAAGAGATAGAACGCTGGGGTTGGCCTCATTGTGTTTGTCTTGCCGAGACGCATCTAATGATATGCAACATGACCTTTTCCGGTCAGGTCATGACCTTGCCCTGAGGTCAAATTTTGAAGTTGACCTTTCAAGGTCAAACTATAGTTAATTCGACGCGTCTCGGCGAGAGGAACACGAATCTGGCAATAGAAATGTCGCGACTTTATTTATTCAAAAGTTATTGTCGAAAAATACTTTTCGTAAAAACAGGTATTTTTGGAGTTTTTGTCCTCTGGAAGCTAAACCGTTCATGACCTGAGGTCAATTTTGATGATGACCTCATCAAAAGAAGAGCTCAAAAGCTATCGATTGCTTTTCCATGCGTTTTTCTAGCTGTTAGTTCCTGAGATAAATGCATCAATTCTGAAAAATATGATGACATTTGGCAAATTTTGACCTTTGATGACCTCTAGTGACCCCAATATTGCTCTAAGATGAAAAAATGACCGAAATACTTTCAAACGTACGCATTGAGAGCTATCGACTGCTTTTTACCGCGTCTTTCTAGCCCTCTTAGTTTTTGAGTTAGAGGTGGGTGGTAACATATGCCCCCCCCCCCCCCACTAGGGCGAAGTTGGCCGAGACCGCCACTGGGGCGCGGGTTAATTAAATGTCTGATGAACAGATATGAATATCACTTATATTTTATACGCGGGCGCGGTGGCCGGTGCGGCGCGCCGTCGCGTCGGGGTACCTAATGTCAGCCCGACGTCCTTATTTCATTCTTCCATTCTACGGCACTGAAGTGGTGCCAATGGAACAAAAATACCTTTCTCAACAAATCAAATTACAGGTAGGTCACGAGCATGAACCGGGTATTGGTGGAAAACGACTGAAGCATTGAGGTAGGAGGTAGGTATTGTGGTAGGTAAAGCGCGCCATAAAACGTGGATCGGCAGGTAAACTGTAAAAAAAAAAAAAAAAACAAGCAGGACATGACGAAACAAAGCAACGACAATAACTGTATCTATCATCTGCGGTCAACCAGCCGTGCCCTAAAACAAGAGCGAGTCTCTCAGATTTGAGATTGAAGATAGCCTCTCATGTTCAGATCCGTTCGCCCCAACTCTGAACGCATGAGGAATTCCTGATAATCCTTAAAAGTTAATGATAATCATTTTCCTATAATCCTTGTAGAAAATCCGTCCTAACACGTAACCATTCGGCGTTTTCCACCTTGATGAATTACGCCAATCAAAAATGCATCTAAGCACGCAGGTCTAGTTATGTCAAATTCATCAGCATCTAATTGCATCGAAGGCACATTGTTGACCTAGAAATTAGAACGGTAGCCTTCCCTGATCGTCTTACTGATGAGCGCTCATTTCTATTTGACTTCTAAACTGTATTGCGATTACAATAGGAACGGAATATAAAGTCTAACGACAATGATATGTGGTTGTCGTTATGTCGATGTTGATGGTGTAAATTGTAATGATGTCGTTAGACTATTATTCCGTGCAATAAGTATCATTAGTTGTGTAGCCATCCGTGGTCACGCGTTCAACGCTGAATGTTCACACCTTCACCGGTTCAACAGCTCATAGCATGGTTTATTGTATCGCCTATAAACCCATTGCACAACACCCGTCACTCAATTTAAATATCGTAACAGCCAATCAATTGCCTATACATATAGCCGTGTGCTGGAGCCCATGCCCGATTACCCATTAGCTCCGTTTAGCCGCCATGAAGGCCCCATATCAGTCAGCTGGTGCCAGCGGGGTACGCCACCAGGTGATACCGGCTGCGTCACTTCATGGCCTCGAGGCCGTCTCTCTCCCTCTCCCTCCCTCCCTCCCTCTCTCTTTCTCTATCTCTCTACCAAGTCCCTTCCCTCTCTCTCCTCAGTTCTTTTTCCTTTTACTCTCATAAGTCATCTATCTGTTTCTTACTCTTTCGTTTTTCTCATTCTTGCTTTTCCAGTTATCGTTGTTTTGTTTTCTTACATTTCTATCTCCCCTTCTCCCTCAGTGTTCCCAGGACACACCCTTCTCGGAGGTGTTTAGCACTGACCTCGGTGACGGTGACAAGCCTCAGTCATTGCACAACACTGGGGATGGGTCCGGGGTGGGTGAAGTGGGGAGAGAGCGACCCCCCCCCCCCGAGCCCGAGGTGCCGGCGAGACGGCGGGACTGGCTCCCGGCAGACGTGGCTCCGACGTCGCTGAGATCGGTCGCTCCTTCAGCTCTCTCTCCCCGAGATCCGGTCAACATGAGGGTGCTGCTCGTTCTGGCCGGCCTGCTGGCCATCGCCTCCGCACAGAGTAAGTCCGCCGCCGCTCTGCCTCAGCGAACAGTTATAGGTGGAAAGTTGAAAGATGTCAAATACTGAATAGATTAATAGGCATAACATAAACTCAGTTATCTATAGTGATATCTCCCAACTCAAATGGTAACCTTTTCTATTTAAGCATCAAAACCATAGAGCGTTCGT